TATTTTAATTGTTTTTATTTTTTGACTGAAGCATAGCATATTTGAGTTTTTCATATTTTCACCAAACAATGCTTATAGGCTGTTTAGACCTGTTAATGGGCCAGGCTCAGATTGAGCTTTTGCCAAATTTTGAATGGGCCTACCCCGACCTGAGACTGAAGCAATGCAAAATGTTCATGGACTGAGCCCAAAGCCCGGCCCATGAACAGGTCTAGGGCTGCCTAAGTGGATTCTAACTTGCAAAACCAAAAGCTGCCACCTAAAAGCCCTCCCAAACAGACACTAAAATTTGGGCTCCGTGCTTTCGGGCTTTAAAAAGAGAAATTCTGAAGTTTATCCAAACGCAACCATATGTTATTGAATGTTTTGTAATTTTGTAATAGAATGTGCCACGTGTTTATTTTATTGCTGTTTTTCATGTCCAATAAAACCTTCTCAACAACCCTTATTTTCTCAAATGTTTATTGATAATGTTCCCCAATATCATTTCTACTACAGCAACATTGCAAGGTTTGCTGCCATGGGCCAATGGGAATTGACACTAAAATGAATAATCCAACACAAAGGCTATTCAGATATTAAACAGGTGTGGTTCCTATTCTGTGAAATAGAGTTTGTTGTCTCATTACAAATGAACCTAATTTAGTATTTAAATGGTTTAACTATCAGGATTAACTACGTCAATAATGGACCCCAAACAAAATATGAATGGTAAAACTGATTGAGAATGGCCTTATTCCAAAATCTGTATCTATATTTAGAAAGAGGGAGGATGGAAGTCTCCCCCCCCCCCACCCACCCAAATTAAATCCTCTCATTCTCTCCTTTGAAATCTCTCCTAACTCTCCCTAATACAGCAGGAGTATAACTTTGATGGATTGGACCAGATTAGAGGCAATCCAAACCCAAACCCTCTAAATATGGACCTCAGACCTGAACCCACTTCAAGGTCAAAGTGAGAACATAACCAGAGCCTTGATATCTTGGTAGATTGGGTGGAGAGGATAAAGAGAATTTTGGTCCGATGATTTAAAGCATATCGACCACCACCTTACCATCCGATAAGACCATAGCATCGGCATCCAATGTTTCAAAATTCGATCCAGAGACCAAATCATTTTTGTCTCCAGGTTGCATGTCACTGGTTCGACTCTTCAAATCGAATGGGTCAGACCATGTCAAATCAGTATATGTATAAATATGTGTTTTGTCAATAAATAGTGTATAATTATTTTTACATGTAATATATGCATAAGTACTATTATATATCTAATTTATATTTTTAATTTAATTTTAATTTTTTATTATTTATAAAAATGTTAAAATTTGCAATTTGGTGTAAAAAAAAGATTTTTTGGAAAAAAAAATAGCAGGGCAAGGGCACCTTGGGATTCATACATCTCAAAAACTTATCCAAAATATTTAAAAAAAAAAAATCACTCCAATAAGACATCAAAGCATGAGAGCACAAAGTTATGGTCTCTGAATACACATTTAGTGTACAATACATGACTGGTGACCCAGTCACCTGGTTAAATGGGTCAATGGTCCAACCACCAGATTGAACAGTTTTAACCAGGTCAACGATTTTTACCAAGGACTGGATTTTATGAGAATTGGACCCAAAATCATTGTTAGGTGATGGTTTGAATTGTCCAACTGGAAAGGCCAACAACGGATATATATATATAATATAAAATACCCCCTCAAAAGACTACAAGTGAGTTGGATCTCCTCCAAATAAAACACATTCCAACACCCTTCCGACATGATCCCATACCACATCTCACTAAGGGTGGCCATGAGCCGAGCTCTTTACGAGCTACTCGAGATTGGCTCGTGAAAAGCTCGATTCGGTTCAATTTCAACCGAGCTTCGAGCCAACCTAGAGCCCAGTTTATAGGTTTGATTAATAAACGAGCTGAGCTCAAGCCTAATAGAGCTCGGCTCGTGAAGCTCACGAACCGAGCTCGAATATATATATATATATAATAAAAATATTATAATTCTTAATTTTTAAATATTAAATAATTTATATATAAATTTTTATTTTTATAAAACATTTTTTCTCAAATCGATCTCGAGCCAAGCCGAGCTCAAGGTTCTAGCTTGAATCGAGCTCGAACTCGAACCTTGTACTACCTTGGTGAGCTGAACTCGAGTCTCATACTATTTGACTCGGCTCGGCTCGAATCCACTCCTATATCTCACCATGAGATTGTGGCCCATATATAAGATGCACAGTGTTAGATGAATGTCTTGAGGGTATTGGCAAGTGATCCGAACTCACAAGTATGGTAATAGTAAAATCCCTGTTTTCAGCTGATCAAAAATGCATTATAACTGGCTCAAGCTCAATTGTTCAATTGAATTTTGAATTATCTATTCTATATGTCCAAAATCTTCACGGTATTGTTTACAAAATGATTAGTAAAAGCGTGTATATATGGACTCTATATCATTAACTATGGTATCTGAATTTTATGATAGTTTGGCCAGTTATTTGGGGAACTCTGGGTAGTATTTTGCTAGGGCAAAATGATTAACAATATGAATACACGCATAGTGACCCATTTGGGAAGGTTGAGTTGAAGATTCAATTAAACTGCATTAAAATATTTCCAATAAATTATTCTAAAAAGGATGAAGCAGACAGCCCTTCAAATGACCGGTTGCTTGTTTGGGAGGGCCGAAAGTCTGAAACACAGTCGTTTTTGACTTTTCAAGTTATGCACCACTGAGACAGTCCACAAGCTATGCTCAGTGAAAGATTCAAAGATTCCAATCAACTGTCACTCAATCATTTAAAGGGCTATCTGTTGTGTAATCCATAATAATGAAATTCGGATTAGCTGAACGAGATGGTTGTTCAGCGGGATGTGTAACTAATTAAAATGTTCCACGCTAATAAAAAATTTATGGGCCCTATCGTGAAAGGTATGGGTCCTATATATTTTATCACTGGTGTTCCTACAGCCCGCTGAACACCTATAGTGTTCTGTTAATCTTTGTTCATCTCTTATAGGTTGTTTGCGTAGGGTCAACCTTGGGAAGTAGATATACTTGGTGAAAAATCATGAGCCTAAATTGGTTGAGTCAATAACTCGAAGGGTTGTCTGCTTCATCTCTTTGATTAGTGTTGAGGGGTGAAGTGACCCTCCAGTTACGAGCTGTCACATGATGGCCAAAATCGTCTCATCATATCTTGGTGTCACATGTAGCATGACCTCGAAAGAACGCTCCTTGACAGATCGATTTATGCCCCCCAAATAATACCGACTCCACTTAAAATAGCAGATCAACAAATTGGCAAATGAGACCTAGGCAACGACCTAATGAACTAGTCGGCCTCGGGGACACGACCTACGAGGCACATCCTCACTTATCCATTTGCATCACTTGACGCCTTCGAAACACATGATGACATTCTGCCCACCTGGCAACGGTGAGCCCAATTCCTCCCACTTGTGTGGGAGTACTCGACAAGTATTGGGCAGATAAGGCCTGTCACCTCTGGATATGTCGAATGCACATTGACTGAGCTCCACAATCTATATAAGGGTGATTCCTCGCCCTCTAACAATATGCTTACACTATCACTCTGAATCTCTGCCTATCATCTCTTGTTCCATGAAGCAGTTTGGTATTAACTTGACCGTTAGGTTCTCCTTCGCCCAGGTCATACCCGTAGGCTCTCTAATGTGTTCTTCTCTTGCAAATCTGGCCTATCAACCTTACCACCCTTTGTCTGATTTATCAAAGCCAACGGGTAAGGGTGATCATTTCAGTCCGGCCTGGCCCGTACAAGTTCAGTCCGAAAATTTTGCGCTTGGGCCTGTGTTTTTGTATTCAGGCCCAGCCTGGGCCCGGGCTCATATCAGACCCACAAATTTTAGGTTTGAGCTTGGGTTTAATACTTTAAATTTATACATTTTGTGTATAATGTATACATGTTATTTTACATTATATTATATATTTTATATATAAATATTATAACATGACACGTATATTTTATATTATAATGTTTTATTTATGAAAGACATTGGCCCAGAATCAGGCCCAGGCCTATGTAGACCTGGGCTAGGGCTTATGTTATAGGCCCAGAACCTCGGGCCCAGGCCTAAGCTATATAACCTTTATCATAAATGCAAAGTCCGGCCCATGATCAACTCTACCAACAGGGATTCAACACAGTTCATGCATCATCAAATAGAAATCGGATTCAGTCAGTGCAAAGCCCATTCAAATAGCCATCATAGCCTTGAACTGACTGAAGTCAATCTCCATCAAATAGCTTCAATCTCTTATGAGCAAAAACTATCCTTACATTACATCCAATTGGACATTGGGAATATCTTATGCGGCTGGATTCCCATAGCCTCAATTTGGAAAGAGTACAAATGCATATATGTAGAGTGCAAAACCATATATTTTGTATTATTTTAAGTGTATTTACACGGACGTATTTGCATTTGTACTCTTTCCAAACCAAGCCATATGCTTTTTGTGTAGGTTTTACTTGCAAGGAATCTCATCGCCATATGGAGCACCTTAAAGCAGCTGAGTCTTCACCTCAGCCCTCCCAAACGGGCTCTTAAGTTTATACCTTTAGTTACAGTGTTTTTTTTTTTATATGCTAGTGTAACTGTAATGTTAGTTACAGAGATTTTGGCGGTAAAGTAAGGGAAGGAAAAGGTATGAAAAGGAAGGAAAAGCTAGAAAAACCTATACAAAGACTTTTTCCTTCAAACCAAACACAGCGTAAGGGGTTATTGGTTCGAACCCGTCTTTTATGTCAAAAATCGGTTGGATCCTATATTTGGGAGAATGACCAATCAACCCAGATCAGAATTTTATAACCCCAAAGCATCCTGATCGTGAATTGATGAGGGTAGTGAATTCAGAATTCTGCATCGTGTATCTGTACTTGTCCGTAATTTTTTTTTTCACTTTTTACTTTTTAATGGGTTATCCATTATTCCACCCACGGAACCTATCGTTTGAAATAGAGAACACGGCGTATCTTTACATGAATGTAAGGTGGAGAAGACGAGACACTGAAGAGACGGAGAGTTCTGAAAATGCAGACCCTTACGCCATCAGCTATCGTCTTCAAGACACATTTGCAGCCTTCATGTCCCAAGCCTCTTAGATTTTACCACGTCTCTTCTTTATCTCCTTCAATTCCTGATTCGCGGAGGAAGAACCCATTACAGTCTTCCAGGAATCCCTGTACCGTATTTCCGAGGTAACTTCGCTTTTCCCTTTCTATTTTCTGAAAGATTCATAATTCTATCTTAAATTCGGTATCTCTTGTAGTTGTTCCTTTGGATTGCTTAAGCTCTAAGAATACTTTCTTTCAGTCAAGCATGGTTTGCTGTTTTTTTTTTTTTTTTCTCTCTCTCTTTTGCATGGATGGTTAACACTTTCGTGTTCTTATTTCTGTTTGTACTAAGGTTTCTAGCAGAATTTAGTCAAAGTATGCTTTGCAATTTTTATTTCTAAAATTTGAATAAACAAAGACCGAAGAAATAAGGAGCACAATGTGGATAAATTATACAAGGATGCAGTAACAGGTGTTCAATCTCTTGACAAGAACTTAAAATATCGTGCAGATTTTCAAGCCAATGGACTCGACATAAGAACTTGGGCGACCAGTGGTTAGGAAACTTCCAAACATCTTCGTCCAATGCAGGCTGCACTGTAATTTTTTTGTCCTTTCGATATTCTTTTTCTTGATTGTACCTTTATACACAACATGGAGAAATTCAAGCTGCTTTTTGTTGTGTAGTATAAACAATTTCTTGTGTTAACCGTTTAAATGAACAGTTTCCAGTCCACTACCACTAGCCATAATTGTGCTGCTAGTTGACGATTTTTACATTCTCCTTTTCTTTTTCTATTATGGTATTAAGGATGCCTTGTACTAGTCCTATAAACGAGCAATTGCCACATCTCTTAGCTGTGGTCCTATAAGCGAGCAAAGGAAATTCTTGCTGCAAATAACCGCTTTCTAACAGCATAACAGAACACTGCAGGGAGATTTATGTTTAAATAGCAAACCCTGAAGCCAATGTAATCTGGAATTATGATCCTAATCATCCATTGCGGCATTGCTATACTTACCTAAGAAAATTCACCTCAATTTCCTTGCTGACTCTCCAGTTTAAGGCAATAGGTTTGATGGTTGTGATGTAAGGATAAAGTCTTGGGCTGACAAGTGTGAAAAAATGGGTTCAAGTCTGAGAGTGGCCACATTATGCACAAAAACAAGGCAGCAAAGGTTAGGCCCACGTATAGTCCACCCCTTCCAAGTTCTAGCTAGGACCAACATTGGCTAATCACCTTTGGGATTGATGATTATGGCCACTAGATTGCTTTGAATTTTGGTTCAGAAATTTGCTAGATGAGAATATGGAATGATGGTTCTGCACCTCTGTCATTTCCCCTATGGTCCCATCTCATTTAAAGCCATAACATTGGTGATGTAGTTATTGCCTACAATATAAAGACCTTAGCTTAATTTTACCTCAGGATGCCAGAAATTTGACAAGATTGGTCACAGTTAGGGCTGTTAATGGGTCAGTTTGGCCTGACTTTATTTTAGTCATAACTCATTAATTAAGAATAAGATTACAGAGGAGAGGAGCTAAAATATCTTAACTCCCCAAAAATGCCAACATACACCCAAAATAAAAAGAACAATTACACCTGAGCCCAAAAAACAGAACTCCTATTCACCCCTTGCCTAGCTAAGCCACCTACAAATGAATTTGCACTTCCCTTTACCCATGTGCATTGAACTTCAATGTCCTTAGTCAGCCATTTAAATTTCCTCTTTTCATTGCTGTAGTTTCAAAGCTTAGAGCTGTCTTCTTTTAGCCAACTCACTACAGTCTCAGAATCTCCTTCTATGATCAGTTTATTGACATTAAGATCTTTATCCCTTTGTACCCCTTCCAGAGCTGCTAATATCTCAGCCCTCAAAGAATCTCCCACTCCAATTGGACCAGAGAACATGGCTGTCATATTCCCTTTTTCATCCCTTATAACTCTCCCTATACCCGAGGGCCCTGGATTGCCCATGCTACTACCATCAAAATTCATTTTGATAAAGCCGAGAGGTAGAGGGTTCCAGTAAGATCTTGAGACCTTCCTGACTAAAACCAACCATGTCGGTTCTGGTTCCATGATTTTGTCCCAATTAATAATCAGGTTGATTCCGGTTCTCGCATGTCCCAAACTGATTATCTTATTAAGTATATAATGTATTCCTAATTTTACTATTATTTTTATTATATTTCATGTCTGAAATGGTAAATTTGATAGATAATATATGATGATATTAGTTAAAAATGCTTAATTTATTAACATATATATAATTTAGTATTTTACTATCATTTTTATCAAGATTATATTATCAAAATTTACATTTTAAGTTATTATTTAAATCAATAAATATAGTTTTCGGAATAATCAGGTCTATCAGGTAAGACAAATGTAGTCGTATGAGACTACTAATAGCCCAAGCTGTGGTGTATAATCAACAAGAAATTAAGAGGATGAGAGGAGAAAGAGAAAAGAAGAGAAGAAGATTTCGAAGGAAGGATTTCAGAAAAGAAGAGGATACTTAATGTACCGCCCTCCTCTTTCTATTTATATTAATTCTGAAGTAAGGATAAGTCTGCTTACATGGCAAAATTAAAATCCTAATAAAAGACAACAATTTTAAAGTCCTAATAAAAGACTAACAACTAATTGTGGACTGACACTTAAATAACTAGTAGTTGTATACAAGTACAATAGAAAGAGGTGGGGACCACATAGTAGTTGTATATGAGTACAATAGAAAAAGGTGGGGACCACATCAGTGGTTTCTACAACAAAATAGGACCCAACTATTAGTGAGGATGGTTCTGGGTCCATTCTTTTGTCCTGATTAGTCGGTTTGGGGTTCTACCTAGAACCAACCCAGACCCGACCAATTGACAGCCCTAATCACAGTACTCTATTCAAGATGCCCCATACCACCAAAAATATAGCTAGAAAAGTGTGATAACTTGTGACAGTTCAAACTTGGTTTAGGAGTTCTGCTTCATGGGATCAGTTTCTTTTACATTTACCTCAAGTGTGCTGTAAAGCCTTAGCTGTGTATTGATGTATATCAGGGTGGCTTGGTTATATTACCCTTTGTACAGTATCTCAATGTACAAGCGAGCCTTATGATTTTTAAGATCTTTAATGAAATACTTTTCAGTGTTAAAAAACAAAAAGTGTGCTGAAAATTTTTATATAGGCATAGTCTGTAATTCAAATGGAGGGATCTTGCTGCATTAGCATATTTGTTCAGGTTTTGTGATAGACTGATTGAAGCCTCATCTTATTTATATTTTGTTCTGATTGGACACATTACTTTTTGACTTCAGGAGTCCAAATTTCCTGATGGTAGAAGTTGCAACGGAACATCTAAGTTGATGCAATTTCAAGATGATTTTGTGGTTTTGGGCAAATCTCCTGTAGAAATTACTTCAACAAGTGAAGATTGCATGCCTACATCATCTTTTAAGCATGCACTCCCAATTTCTGATTCATTCTTTCATGGTTCACTGAAGTTTGCACTGCTGCTTGGCTTGTTCACATTTCAAGGATCTGAAACAGCAGTAGCTGCTTTGGAAATTGCTAGTGGGTTGCAGTCAGTTCCTTTTCTTGGAGATCTTGGCGATATTAGCACAGGTTTTACTTCAGTTAGGAAAATCTCCTTGATACTTTTATTTCTGTCATTTTAGATATTAAAGGCTAGATCATTATCAAACCTTCTATGTCTTCAACCTCTTGAATTTGGGTGAGTTTCCTGTTAAAAATTAGGGTTCTTCTTGCTGACATTTGAAATTGATGCAATATGGTTGATTCTCTTGCATGTGAATGAGTGTTTTTGTTTAGGAAGAAGTTTATTTAGAGATAGCATCAATTAATATTGCTCAAATCTATAAAAGGATCCAACTCAACATGTTTATTATAGCGTAAGTAATCCAAACATGTTTATTTAGAGATAGCATCAATTAATATTGCTCACTTTCTGTACTTGGATCCCCCAGAACAAATCACTTTTATACTCAAAATCAACTTGTCTTCTTTATCAAAAGTTCAATTTGGTTTCTCAGTATTTCATCAATGTATTTCCATGGTTTATCCATTTATCATAACAAGCCCATTGCAGAATTTAATTTTAAACTAGAGGATTATCCATGATGTCTTCATAAAATTCTTCATCTTACATATATTCTTTCTTACTATAAGTGGGATCCTCTATATAAATGGTTTTCATTTTTATCTATGCTCTACCTCCAACATTGTTCCATTAGTTGTGTTGATATTAATATAAGAAACTGATGTAAACAGGGAGAATTGACATAAGGCATCTAGTTTCTCAAACTAGCACGTTTCTTCCCAAATACAATCAGTTACCTATGGTATCTTTTGTATTATCCACCTTCAACAGCACTCTGTGATTTCTTCATGTAGACTAGGATAAAAACCACATTTGTCTATGACAGTCTTATCTAGATAGAATAGATTTTAACTTTCAAGGCATAGGTTGATAATATTCTTACAAACTATTGGAAAGAACAAACTTCAATTCTTGAAAGTAAATCTTCCGGTATTATATATATATATATATATATTGCTCACACACAATATGCTCCTTTGGTCACTAAGTTAGCAATGGCAATTCTGTTTCTGTTGCAGGCATTCCTGCTGATCTTCTTCTCTGAACTAGGAGACAAGACCTTTTTTATTGCGGTAAGGATGAATAGTTGAGCAGTAGTCAAATTGATCAAATGCATTGAGAATTTTTTACATAACTCATGATGTGGGAAATCCTGAGTTTGTCTATACATTGCATGTATATGCGCCTCTGGTTTTTTCTTTTGTAAAACAAAGATCTTTTTTATTTATAGAAGGTGAATTAGTGTCAATACTCTTGAATTAGATGTCACTGATCCTTTCAACTAAAATTATGCTTGTTGACTAAGATGTTTCATCAAATTTTAGCTGTTTTGCTGATTTCTGTTAGAAATTAATTGCTTTTGCACTGTAGTAGAATAGATGTACAGCCTTAGGAATGTTAGCCCCAATTAAATTGCACCCCTACTCTAATTGCTTTTGCACTGTTAGCCCCAATTAGAGTAGGGGTGCAATTTGGTTGGGCTTTTTAATTTGAATGGGCCCAGCCTGAAAGCTCGGCCTCAATTAAGTGTAAATTATTCAAGTTGGGTACCTGATTTGCACACCTAGTTTAGAGTTTTCATGCAATTTTGGATCCAGATCATCCTTCTGTTTTTACTCAAAGAAATTCAACTCACTATTTGAGCTAGGTTTCCTTAAAAACGTGGAAAAAAGCTATTTCTGATATTATATTCCAGGTAAGAACATCTGACACATACTGATTATTCTGTATACCTTGAGCAGGCACTTTTAGCAGCTAGAAGTTCTGGGGCCATCGTTTTCATTGGAACTTATGGTGCACTTGTGTAAGTTATTTTGTTTTGTGTATTGTAATATAGATGACTAGTGGTGAATGCTAATGTTGCTTCCTTTACCATTGTTTATAGTTTTTCTCCTCTATATTTGTTTATTGCAACCTTTGTAGCCTCCCCCCCCCCCCAAAGATGGGATGAGATTGTTGCAATCATTCACTATCCAAATTTTTCTTTTTAAACTTTCTGAAATGTCCTTCTTCTGTAAGGTCTGTTTGTTTCTTCTTGGACAGCAATTGATAATCATGACCCTTTGTATCATGGACAGGGCAATGACTATTATATCTGTTGTTCTTGGACGGACATTTCATTATGTTGATGGTATCCTTCCATTCAGGTACTTACCTTGATCTCTGCATGCAGCTTAGAAGAGCCAAAGAGGACCTATTAGTTTCATTCTTTAGATACACACACTGGGAGTCAAATACACAATTAATGGAGTACCCCTATGATATAGCCATGCAACCTCAAGCAAATTAGGTAGTTATAATTCTGTAGTGTTATGAAAATATTTCATTTTTAACTTTTAGGCTCAGTTTAGAAAGAGTACAAAGACAAATATGTACAGTGCAAATACAGAAAATAATACAAAATACAAGGCTTTGTACTCTACATATTTGTATTTGTACTCCTTCCAAACTGAGCCTTAGGAATACAATAGAACAGACAGTTGAGATCCATAAGATGGTGGGACTCAAATCCTGTGTGCAGTGCACCATCTTAGAGTATGCTCATGGCAGACCATTCTGGTGTCTACAAGAAAATTTCGGATTTCTTCTTTGTTGTTTAGTATGAACTGGTATAATTCTTTTTTTTTTGAAGGATTTTTTCAGTTAGTCAAGTATAATTTTTGAACAATCTATTTGCAGATTTGGTGAGACTGATCTGCCAATTGATGATATTGCTGCCGTTTGCCTTTTGGTAATTTTAGTCTCTCATGTTTGGTTCATTCATCTTTTCCTACATATATGTGCATTTGTACAACTAGAATGATGTCAAACACGTAGCAATGATGGTGGTGGTATGGTTATAATAACATTGAATCAGATATGCAAACAGAAATACTTCAGTTATTATTTGTTAGGATAGCATTGTAATAAGGTGTATGAGATACACCATAACACCGAGACCGGATTCAGTCCTCACAAAACCGTCCTCACACCATGTTCACAGCTTTTTGCAGCTGTGCATTGGGAACATCTCCATATTTGTATGTTTTTACTCATGGGGAGATATTCCCAATACACATCTGCAAGTGGCTATGAGCACAGTGTGAGAACAATTTTGTGAGGGTTGAATCCAATTCCCATAGCATCTCATAGCCAACGATATTAGGATTTATTGAGTGGTTAGGATAAGATCAAGATAAATGAAGATTATCCTCATCTGTAATCTCTATTTATATCCCTTGTACTCCTGTTTTGAACATTATGCAATCTCCTCATTCTTTAGATTTTACATTCATGATGAAAATAAATTTCAGAGTTTATCTCCACCAGTATTAATCAATTTCAGGCTTATTTTGGAATTACCACCTTGCTGGATACTGCCTCAGATGATGGTTTGAAAGCAGACGAAGAACAAAAGGAGGTTGAGTATAAAAATAATTTGTTTCAAAGAGTCTAGTTTCCACTTTCCAGTTTCAATGGTCAGACCAAGAAGTCAAAATTATTGCAAATATTCCAATATTTCATATAAATAAGTACTTGAGATATACTTTGGTGATTAACATTTTTTGACTGCATTACTTTTCTCTCCAGATGAGAGTGATGATGCAACAATAGGCATACTTTAATTAACCATCAGGTCTCATTTTCTGTACCAGGCAGAGATAGCAGTTTCCAGATTTTCAGGAAATGGTGCTGGAATGGTTGCTGCTGCTAATACTATAATTAGCACTTTTGCACTGGTTTTTATTGCTGAGTGGGGTGACAAATCATTTTTTTCAACAGTAGGTGAGCCTAAGTAAATCCATTGTTTTTTGCTTATCAAGTAAATGTTACCCAAAAAGGGATGCATACAATAGGATAGAAGCTGTATTTCCAACAAAGGTGGAGCCTAGAAGAAACGTTTTTTTTGAAAATTACTTAAACCTCCTTCTGACAAAATATTTAAAAGTTCCCCTGTACTTTGACCTTCACAAAACCTCCCTTCATGTTTCAAATAGATATACAAACACACCCCTTCTATGAATTGTCTAGATGTAAAACACTGACTGCTTTGAAGCTTTTAAAATCTCATTTTTGCTGATGAAAAACTTTATTGGGATGAAGATTTATCAAATTAGCCCCCAAAACTTTATTGTTCACTTAATCAAGTGAACAACAAAAGCCAAGCTGGGATTAAGATTTATCAAATTAGCCCCCAAAACTTATTGTTCACTTCACCAAGTGAACAATGAAAGCAAAGCCAGGGTTGAATTTAAGTCTCCCCTTTTAGCAGAAATGCCATACTCAGGCAATCTAAGAATAAACGATGGTGTTCATTGTGCACATTAGTATAGTTACAATTTCAATGTCTCTGTTACAGGATAATTAACAGAAGGGATGTGTTTGCATATTTATTTGAAATGTGAAGGTGATTTTTAGGAGGCCAAAGTACAAGGGAGTTTAAATATTTGTCAAAAAATACTGGAGGTTTAAGTAAATTTCCCTTTTTTATATTTTGGTTGTGTAGTTTTTTATTTTTATTTGGTCAAATGGGTGATGGGGGTTGGGAAGCTTATAATTTCGAAAGGGATCTACTCCACTCTATATAAATGTATAGGATTTTCAATTTTTTCTTATGGGTGGGGGGGATAAGCGCTGCCCCCCAGAAGGATCTCTCTCTCTCTCTCTCTCTCTCTCTTTTTGAAGGGGGGGGGGGTGGGGGGCTGGACCTGGACCCACCTTTTGATAAAGGGCCATAACCTGATGATGTTGCTCCTATATGGATCTAACATTGGCTTTTTTTCTCTTTTTTCTCTTTTCTCAATACCCCCTCCACATGTTTTCAGCATTTCCATTTCTATCTACATAGGCATGTAAATTGCTTCTTCAATTCCTGATTCCTGATTCCTGATGTATGTATTCCTTCTCTTCTCCATATTGATGCAATTCATATCTTTTCTTATGCAGCACTTGCCGCAGCTTCCTCACCCTTAGGAGTCATTGCAGGATCATTAGCGGGTCATGCAATTGCAACTTTGGTAGCCTCTTGACCTAACTTTCAGCTTCTGGTCCTCTCCTAGTATCAAGATTCTAGTTCTTTCCATATATCATTAAGTATGCAAGGATCTGTATTAAAAAAAAAAAGAAAAATCTTGTGTAGATTGCTGTTCTGGGAGGAGCTTTGCTGGGGACATTCTTATCAGAGAAGGTAAAGCTCAACTATTAACTTCAGAAACTGGATTAGACCAGACAGTTAAACCTCTCGGACTGTTATATCCATCAGTTACTTGGTGTAGTCTAGATTGTAGGGCCACAAACAAATAGGAATAAATCGGATATACCCTGATCCAAATTTAATTAATTAATATTCAGATTCAAATTGAACCTTATCCATTGGGTTTGAATTGAATTCAGATCAAAATTGGATATTGAATAGCATTAATAAGTCAAACTAAAAATAATCAAAATACAGTATTAATAAAATGAAATAAAAATGACTGATATTGTTTATTATGAATAAAATGAATTGAAAATAGCTTGCATGAAACTTGAACCTATGACTCTTTAGTAAAATACAACATTCAAATCAAATTTTACTAATAGATACAATACAAATATTAAGTATATATAAGCATATATATTTAAATCAGATAGGAAAGTGGTAGGCCTGTCAATGATTCCCAAAAATCTGTGGCCCAATCCAACATCCAATCCGATTATCTCGGATTCAGATGATATATTTATGTAATCGGATCAGATTCGGAGTTGATTGCATTCAATCCGGTTAAAATCCGAATTTGATTATATTATAAAATTTATCAATTTTAATATATAACTTTATTTAATTATATATAAAATTATAAAAAATATATATTTTATATATTATATTATATATGTATTTATATATAATAAAATCAGTATGTTATATTTACATTAATGTATTATATATAAAAGTTGAATCTAACCCAATCCAATTATAGCCCTAGATACTTAGATAGTGGTGGATCCATATTCAATCTAATTATAAACTGATCAAATTCGGATCACCCTTAACTGAATCAAATTCATAGTTGGACAAATTGATTTCGTTTGCAGCCCTACTGATCTGTCATAATTTTCTGACATCAGTCAGTTGAACTTCTGAATCAAAATCATGGTACATAATTAATGTATTGAATCAAAATTATCAATTCATGGAACCACCACTGCCATGATATCTCATGTTATGGAAAATGAGAAGACAGAACACTAACGCCATAAAATATACATGACGTTCTGTTGGCAAGACTGAAACATTGTGTTGAGTGCCCAGAAGGGTACACTGCTGTGAAATCTCATTCTTCAAATCTTCTTATTTGTTTCTGGGTGACTTTCATCCAACCACATTGCTCTTGAACTATGAAACACTCGCCACTTCGATCCCTCAAACAGTAGATCTTAACACTCTAGATGGGTTTCACATTTAACGAATTGATGAGAATGTGTTTATTTTTAGTTCTAATGTTACTTGCTTGTTGTTCTGAAACTTTCTAAGGTGCTTTGACTTTTGTTCATCGTATAGGTTGTTGCCTACGCAGGAGGTATTCTTTTTCTAGTTTTTGCTGCGGTGACATTGGTTGAAATAGTAAGTTAAGAGTTTAGAGTTTGCCAACAATTTTTGTTTCATCGTAGGCAACATATGTTTGTTTTGTTTTGGTTTGGTTTTGGTTTTGGTTTTTTTGGTTACCAAACATATATTCAATTTTGTAAATACATTAGACACGTTTATTCATTTCTAATGTAGAAATGGATCAGATGTAGGATCATTTTCAGGTATTTTGATGATTATCAATTTTATGATACAATTACTTAATTGTTGTTAATCCTCCTAGCATTGGCAATGAGACAGACAGAGCCACCATACATATCCTTAACTATATATTGAAGGAGTTCAAATCAGCCCCCCACCAGATTGTCCCACAGCACATCCCTACCGCGTATTGTGAACATCTCCCAATGATGACATCATCGTCTCTGGTATCATTATCGGGAGATGTTCCCAATACATGGCGGGGATGTGCCGTGGGACTTTGTGGAGGGCTGATTTGATCTCATATTGAAGACCAGATTTATTGGAGCTTCTTTTCTTTCTTTGCAACAATGTTTTAAAACCGGACCTAAAGGCTGAACCACTTTTCACTCCATATGGATGGGATCACCAGTTCGATCATCCAGGTTATAGGTCAATCCTTAATGTCACAACAACAGAATTTCAAATAATAATAATAATGTATTTTAATTTTATATTATTAAGGTTCAGTTTGGAAGGAGTACAAATACAAATATATAGAGTGCAAAACATTGTATTTTGTATGTATTTGCACTGTACATATTTGTATTTGTATTCTTTCCAAACTGAGCCTAATGAACGATTAGATGATTAGATAATTAGATTACAGGTTGATCAAAAGTAAAATCGTGATTGAGTCAATTCACAGGTCAAACCAGATGGGTCAATGACAGGTTGAAAATATTGCTTTGCAATTGGTCACAGAATTTTTTTTCTCACAGCAACCATGCATTGAGAACATCTCTCTATAAAGTGTTCTGAGGACAGTGTGAGGTCAAATACGGTCTACGTATGGGCATAAATCATAATAAACAACCACAAATACCCTTGCGATGTGGTATCCTATTGTTAAGAATCAAGGTTTAAAGTTTAAAACCTTGTATTACCACCAATATCACCTATATTGGGGCATATTGGCCCATATCATTAACCAATACATGACTGGTTTGGTATTTCTGGAAAGTAAAAGGACTAATTTGGTTTCCGGTTAACCTAAAAAAACTAGTGATTAATTAAATCAATCAATCTATATGTATGTATGTATATATATATATATATATGATATAAATATAAAGAATTAAAAAATGAAACCGATCAACCAGTGGTATCGGTTTTGGTTTCAGTTTGAAGATATAAAAAAACTGGTAAGACCGAATTAGTTTAAAAAAAAAAAACATGGTTCATTTAATTGAACTGTGAGCAACTCTAGTGAGCCACTCCCCCTTCCTGTCCCCACGAATGAGATAGTGTTTTTCCATTCCCATCCCTCCACTCCCCATCATTTTTTTATGTTGTTAAATTCAGATTATTTTTTTATTTATATTTATTTTCATTTTAAATAAAATAATTATAATTTATAATTCTATCAAAATAGATTCAAATACATGCAACATATTCAGTTATATTTTTAAAAATATTAGCACATATAAAAGCAAGGATCCCCATGGGACAGGTATAGGAGACCCATGGGGTGAAAAATGCTCCCGATCCCTGTAGGGAAAATCATTCCCATCTCTACCCACCCTACTCTCCTAATTCCTAATTTCTTATATGTGCCTTAGCTTTTCCGATGCTTCTTAAACTTCTTTCAGAAATCAGAACTAGTTGCATGGAATGGTTCCATTGTTTTAAGAAAAAAAAAAAAAAAAAACAGGAGCAGTGACCACGAGCAGCATAGGAATCAAGCCCGGCTGCCTATGTTGGATCTGCATCGTGGACCAACCAAATCCACCAAATGCTGCAAAACAAAGGGACTTTTATTTATGTATGAGAGATGGCAAAAGGAACAACAGCCGGGTCCCACACAGGGAACACGTGGTGGGACATGGACTTAGCACAACCAGAACCTTCGAAGGACTTTTATTTAAGTTATGCTTCTGGAGGTCTCCAGAGTCCAGACTCCCTCCGCTGAGCTCTCCAGTCGCCAATGCACATGATCGCGTGGCCAGTGCGTGACAAGTGACAACGCTGCCCCACCGCACCCCCACTAGTACTACCACTTATAACGTTGTTGTTGTGCTGAGTCTGAGTGGATGTGGATCTGGTCCACTGGTCCACCGGTCCCCTCCCTTCTTCTCTTTTTTGTTTCTCCTTTCTAGCTATCTGCCAGTGCCACCCACCGCCTTCTCAGTTCTCACTCCCTCCCACTTCCACTTGGTTTCCAACTTCCTACCTTGTTGACGTGTTTACGATCTGTCCACTTTCCATACCAAAAATAATAAAATCGAGAAGATATTATATTTTATATCCAGCAGCAAGCCTAAAACTCTGAAAGTAAAGGTTTCCTCCTCCTTAATTGGCCACCAATCTTACACGTTGTCAGTTTGGACTCAAATTGGAGGTCCGATTTGCTAGTGGCCACAACAGACTTTGTGATTGAAACTTGAAAGCGCCCCGCAACGCCCATATCCACTTTTACACTGACTCGACTGAGGCTCAAGGCCTCAAGGGCATCCTCATCGCATGAGCTATCCTGCTCTATATTGCATGTTTATTGTTTGATGAAAGCTCACATTTGGTAATTGGTATACCAATTTAATAAGAATATCATGCTTATGGATATATGGATTTAGCTCCGTAAGGGTGACCCGAATTCGACTTTAAAATTTTATTATATCTATAATTGAAGTTCATCTCAATGTATTTTCACTAAATTTCATACAAAAAAAATCACTTCGTTTTGTTCATAAAATATAATAGTAAAGTCATTGTTATGATTTTATTAATAATATATAATATTTTGATTATAATCTGACTTTAATTCAAATCCACTAGATACCCATCCAATATATATATATATATATATGATCGGATTCAAATTCAAATTTAAATATAAATAAATCAAATTCAGATATGCATATATCCAATTCAATCCAATCCATTTGCAGCCTTATATGAATTGTAACTCCCTCTGAATTCAATTGTCCCCCTCTGCTGTATCTGGTATTTGGGACACATGGATAATGCGCGTGCAAAATGTATTTACACAAATGGATATATAATCCTTTTTTTTTAAATGTAACTTCAATTAATATCTTTCTTTCTTTCTTTACCTTTTGCAGATGGATTGATTCTAGGTTTCAAATCAACATCAACGAGCTTAGACGAACAAGGGAAACAAGAATACAAATGTTTAGTGAGTTTGTTAATCAACCCAATAAACTATTTCAGCCATTAAGAAGCTCACAATCGTTATCAGAAGGGAAGCATTGATCTATTCGACCATTCACGCACGAGATGTAAATAATTAACAACCCATTTTATTATTTAGGTAAAATATAAAAATCCTCTCCTAAAGTTTTTAACAATCATAAAAAAGCATTCCTTGTAACAAATAGTTTTCTTGAACTTTTGAACCTCCTTCCATCACTGACCTAGACGGAAACTCACAATATGCGGGGCCAGAGAGGTTTAAGGGTTGAGAACTTGAGAGGCAGTGGCCCCAACCAAGTGAAGAACGAAGAATCGTGGCTCCGTCTCAGCAAACAATTCTCAGGCGGCTGCTGGCTTATCATTTTCAATTCATTCTTCACCTTTTTATCATCATTCATCAAGACTCACAATCCGATGCATAAAATGTTTCTATTCATTCATCTCCTGCTGGCACGTTCAGAGGGATCGGTTTAAGTTTCAATTACCTTTTCAATCATGGCCTGACCCGATACACCCCCTCTAAGGGCGTATCGGGAAAGTCCCAATACGGGCCGATACATAATGGTATTTTAAACCTTGATCTACTTTTGCATTCCAGATCTCGCGCCAAATAGCCAATACCTAAAAGAGGACCCATAGGAACAACAAGCTCCTTGTAGCTGCTCTTTTCTATACCGGAATCGTCACCAATGCTCTTGCCTCCTGCATTGGAGCTCTTACGGGTACACACTAGCAGCAGAGATATGAGGGACATGCCATCGTCGAGTGATGGATCCGAAAAACCCCCCACTGCCTCCGTCTCCGAGGTTTTCACGTTGAGGAGATAGAGTTCCCAAAGCAACTTTGATGTGTCAATGGCAGTTTTGGTGAGATTGGGTATATAATCTTTAGGAATGGTTTGTCAACTCCATGTTGGGGTCCATCTCTAAAACGATAATGAGGTTATTTGGGACCGGTGCATTTGATGACCGTTCCGTTTCTGTGATGTGCCATACACGCTACATCAGCAAATAAATGGAATCGGTAAAAAATGGTATTTGGTAGGTGATGTAACTGTTTCTGGCTACGTATGTTTTTTTTGGTTAAGTACCTTATTATCCCGTTTGTTCCTAGGTGGCCGATGACTCAGAGGCTGAAGTGGAGTTCCCTGGTGTCGCGCAATCCGGTTACTCCCTGCAGAAGATGATCTGTTCATCTTTGTAGATGGCGGACCTGGTCGATCTGTAAGAACTGAATCAGAGAACCCGAGGGTGTTTACCCGGCGAGGTCACTCCGATGGCTAAGCCAGCACTTAGTCGCGAGTTGAGAATGATATTAGAGAATGAGAGAGCTAGAGAGCAGGGGTTACCATCTCTTTTTTCTTCCCTTCGCCCTTGGGGGGTGAGACCTTTATATACTGGAGTCCTCGTGGGTTTGGTGGAGCAGTTCCTAGATTCCCGCTGTGATGGATCCTGTTTTCGTGTTAGATGGGTGATAAAGCCACCAACCGGTAAGGTTGCCCATTTCCACCTAAATCGGGGAGTGGGTGAGCTAATATAGCCGTTACAAGTCACAATCCCGTAAAATGCGGGTTACGGTGGTGAGCTCCTCGGGGTTGTCATGCGGTGGTCAGTTTGACTAGGAAGCGAGTTGTCTGTAAGGTGCCGGGCTGCATGATGGCGAGCTGCCTAGTGGCAAGCTGCCTGTGAAGTGCTACATGGTGGCAAGTTGCCTAGTGGCAAGCTACCTGTAAGTGTTGCATGGTGGCAAGCTGCCTAGTGGCGAGCTGCCTAGTGGCGAGTTGCCTGTAAGTGCTGCATTGTCTGGGTGTCGAACTGCACCTAGTTGTCACGAGGTGCCAGGTGTCACGATATTATT